TTTTTTTTTTTTTTTTTTTTTTTTAATTGATTTTGTTAAACGGATGCAAACCAGTGTGTGGATGAGACCGGTTTTAAAAACCGGTTCTATCAGTTCAGCTCTCTTGTGACTGATCTAAACCAGTCTTAAAGCAGTATAGGCACACACATACATACATCCTGCGCTGGTTTAAAACCAGCTTAATCACACTTTCAGTTAAACTGGACCAGGCCTAAGGTCCAATTACACTGTGATTTCTACCACCTTGAGGAACTCTGTTACAGCCTGATGGTTCCCCTGGCATGGTTACACTGCGGGTCATTGCTGCTGAGTTTAAAGCGGAGTTAAATTGCTCCCAGTTCTCATTCCCAGCAGGAAAACTGAATCCCCTGAACGATTGCAGGGAAACCAATGCAGAAGGGATGGAAGTGAGATTCCTTGTCTAAGAACTAGAACAATATTGGTGGAGGCTTAAAATAAAAAATTAGGGTGTGTGTGTGTGTGTGTGTGGGGTGTGGTTGTTTGCCACATTTTCCCCCCATCTCTTGCCCACTCCAGGAACGCTGTTTAAAATGCAGCTTGATCCCCTCTGGGCCTCAAGCCCCCAGTGTATTTTTAACTGCCTTGGAACTACCGTGTTGCAGCCGGGTTGGCCTCAAAATGGTGGCACTTAGGGTGTGGATTGGCCCTCTAAGCAGTGAAGCCCAAGGGACAAATTAGCTCGGCAGCTGCCTTCTGTTGTACTCGATCTTAGATCCGGCAGCCCAGCCCGTGGGGGGCTAATGACTTTACCAGACCAGAATCCAGCCCCGTTCGTCCTCTCAGGAGCTTTGGTTATGCTTCCCTCAGTGCCAGCGACAATGGGAGTGCCCGTGTTAACAAGTCTCCGGTGTCCTCTAGACCTGTCCTGAACCGGGTTAGACGCAGTCTTTGCTTCCCGGCTGCCAGGGGAGCTGAACCGCTGGGAGCGTGGCCTAGTGGATAGTGGCCCAGCTCTGCGCTATGTGACTTGTGGGCATGTCACTTCCCTATTCTGTGCGTCTTCTCCCCCCCCCCCCCCTTGTCTCTTTCGCCTGGGCTCTTTGGGGCAGGGAGTCTGTGTCTGTGCAGCTCCCAGCCCAAGGGGGGCCCTGATCATGGCTGGATATTACTGTAATAAAAGCCCAGTGTTGGGAAATCTTACAGACTAGTGTAGGCAGATTTTTTTTTTAATAGTACTGGGAAAACCTGAGGGGTGGAGGGGAAGTGGGCTCTTGTTTTCACAGCTGATGAACTCAGCAAGGAACTTCTCTCTTTCAAGAAAAGGGCAGACAGACTTTTCAAGCGTTGGTTTTCCTTAAGTGCGTAAATGTGCGGGGAAACTACACATAGCCCTTGTGCGCCTGGCAATTTGTTAAAGTGGCCTCCTGGGCCACCCAAGTCTGGGAACCCCTGCGGTGCAGCATGCTGACACCCCATGAGTGGGAGTATTGGGGTTGGGGGGAGGGACCCTTCTTCGGGACCTGTTGACAGTGGAGCTCGAACCAAGTCTGTGTGTAAACTCCGTTCCAGGTAAACTAATTCCATCTGCCAGCAGGACGGTGGTACGGATGTGTAGAGCCCCGCGCGGATACAAAATTTGGATCCGCCTCTGATCCGCAAACATGGTTTGCGGCTATAAAGCGGATAGCCCCAGATTTGCAGGACATGTTCTCTCCTAGATCTCTTTCCCCTTCCTCCCCCCCCACCCTCGCCCCGTCTGGGCCCCATCCATGCTGGCTGCCTCACATTGTTGGAAACTGGTTTTCGCTGGTCCAGTCTCTAAACAGGTGGCCTAGCTGCTAATGGGAGGTAAATGGCTCTCTTCTCCCCCCTCCCCGCCCCCATGCCACTGGACAAGCCATATTCAGCCCCAGACGAGGTGGGGGGCTGGCCGATATTCAGTGTGTGAGGGTCTGAGACGCTTTGCGAAGGCGGATCAGTATTGCTGTCCGATACGCTTGACGTTACAGGGAAACAGAGGCACAGAAGTACCATGCAGCAAACTAGTGGCTGAGGTGGGGCCAGATCCTAGGTTACCTGGGTCCCAGTCCAGGGCCTGACTTGTGCACCCCGGGAAGGAATCGGTCCGGCTCCTAGTGTGGATTCTGTGGGCTCATCTGTGCTATAACCACTGTACCGGGAGGCTGAGGTACACAGTTGTCCCCCAGCTCTGAGCCGCTGTGTGGTACAGACTGGACCGAACTGTGTCCTTGAGGGTGTTTTTTCCCTCCTCTGCCGCCTCGGACTAGGGTGACCAGGACTGGGGGGCGGGGGGGCAAGGAGGAAGTTTCGCCTAGGGTGCGAAACTTACTTGCAATGGCCATGTATATAGGCGCCTATTACCCTCCCCCCCCCACACCCCCTTCCCGACTTTTCACACTTGCTGTCTGGTCCCCTGACCTCGGACTGAGCAGGTCAAGGCGCACGGTTAGGTCCTGAGGACGCTGTAGGGGAGGATGGAGGGAGGTAGTCCTAGTGCAGACAGCGGGGAACCTTCCTCCATGCAATTGCCACTAGCCAGTTTCCCTGACTCTGTCTCCAAGGTCAGGGCAGTCTCAGCTCTGTGTCCTTGCGTAGGAGGAGCGTCTGCGTCTGGCTCTCCCAGTAGTGGCTGGCCTTGGAGGAACAGGTGGGGCCTGGGGTGAAGGATCACCTGGTAGGTGTTGGGTGTGGGGGGAGGGAGCCCATTATCTGTGGGTCAGCGACACCAGGGCTGCTTGGAGGTGGTGGGAGGCGGGTGTCTAATGACCAGACCGCCCTGCCCCTGCTTGGGAGCTCTCGGATTGCAAAGCAACAGGCTTGTAGATCAAGCTGAAGGACTGTCCCTCCCCACCCCCAACTTCATTCCCCGCTTCTTCCTCCCTCCTGGCCAGGCAGGGCCCAGCCTCCTTCCCCTCTTGCATTAATTCTGGATTAATGAGGCTCCTGGTTAACTCTCTTTCCTCCTGGCAGTCACCCACAAGAAGGTAACCCCAACCCAGTCCGCACTAACCCTGCTTTCTCTCTCTTCTCCCCCACCCCCCAGGTTTGCACAGACACCTGGATGAAGCCGAATTGGCCAAGGACTAGCGGGACCCAGCCCTACCACTGCAGCAGAGCCAAAGGAAGGAAGGAAGGCAGCTGCAGTCCAGTCTGGGGAGTGCCCGTCGAGCTAAGGGGCGTGCAATGTCCAGGACTGCGCTGGCTGCCTGCTGAACCAGAGGGGCATTGGCCCTGAGGTGTGGTGTTGGCAGAGACTAACGGCCCTGGAGCGGGGGCTTGCAACCAGCTGATTGCTCAGACGTTCTGGTGTCATCAGGGTGTCGGCCCCTCGATGCAAAGCAGCCCCTAGTGTAACGCCTTGGTGCCCGCATCCCCCAGTGCAGCGTGTCTGTGCATTTCCCCCAAGGCATTGCACTGTACTCCCTCGGGGGCATTATAACCCCCCTCCTCCCAGGGTACTGGACACCTCAGATACCTCCCAGTCCAGGGCTTTCTACCCTCTTAGGAACTTGCTGGCCAGCTCCCCTGGGGCACTGCACCCCACAGGGCGTTGTCCTCCAGATACCCCTCCCCTCCAGGACATTGCATCCTCAACTCCAGGGCATTGCACCCCAGGTGCATTGCCCGCCAACTCCCCCAGGGAGCTGCCCCTGGCTGGCAGAGCCATGAAGCTGCAGGCGGTGATGGAGAACCTGCAGCGGCAGCAGCGGGCGCGGCTGCAGCAGGAGCTGGAGGCGCGGCAGCAGGAGCAGCAGCGCTCCACGCCTCCCCCGCCAGCACTGCCCCCTCCGCCGCCCTCCGGACAGAACGTTGCCCTCCCTGCTGGGGCCTCGCTGTTGGCCCGTGGCCGCAGCCAGGACCCCGCCCCACCTGAGGAGGGGGTGGAGCTTGAGAGCGCCCGCATCCAGCGTGCCCAGATGGCTGCCCTGGCCGCTATGCGGGCAGCAGCAGCTGGACTCAGCCACTCGCCCAGCCCGGGAATGTCCGATGAGAGCCAGGCCTCAGAGGAGGAAGAAGAGGAAGAGCAGGGGGAGGAGGAGGAGGAGGATGGCGGGTACCAGCAGGAGATGGGCTCGGAGGAAGAGGAGGAGCTGTGAGTATGGATGTATAATTTTGCATAAATTAACACCTTCTGTGGCATAGGCCTTGCATACTGACTTGAATTAATGCAGCGGCGTATACGTTAATGCAGTTCTATCTCCACCCTGGGTTGTAAGCACTGGTTGAACTTGGGACCTTCACTGCTGAAAATACCACCTTTTCTACAAGAGTACATCCCTTAATGTTTAACAGTAGTGGGCTTTTATCTTCTGGCCCAGCCACTGAATGGGGATACTAGAACACTTGACCGGTATGTTACATTGATGTGTATAACATCCTAATTAGGTAAAGTAGCTTGGTTTTATGCAAATTAACATAGGAGCGTTCTTAGATTGCACGGAGACTCCTCTTGATTTAAGAAAAGTGCCCACGTACAGTCAGAATGTTGCAATGCCATAGCTTTTTTGCTGAGTCTCTGATTAGCACCTTAACTCTGTGCAAGAGGCAGGTTCGACCTTTGGCGGCTGGTGGGAAGAACCTGTTCGGGGGCAGCCCTGGTTCCTGCCCGGGAACTGCGTTTTGGGAGAGAATCCCATGGACTCAGCCTGGGGGAGGCAATTGGGGGTTGGGAAGAGGGGGTGGGATACTTTTCTGTCTACATCTCTATACCATGCCTATTGTGGTTGTTCCGGAGCATGCTGGAACACAAATGCCGTACTCAGGTGTGGCTTTCCTTTACAATTGTAGGAATTGCAGGGTAATTTGGTCCTCATCTTCTCTGGCAGCCAGCGCAGGGTCCTTAAAGCAGCCTGGTCTAGTCTTAAATTACCCAGGCAACAGGTTGTTCTGTTGCCTCTGGCTGGTGCAAGGCCACCTGTCCCCTGCTGCCCCATATAGGACAGAGCCCTTTGGACAGCCGCGGGAACTGTCTGTCAACAGCTGTCTGCTTTTGGAAGTGCCGTCTCAGTATTTTTCACTGGGATAGCAATAGGGGCCCTTTTTCCAGTTCAGTTAAAGGGTCGCTGTCCAATTAAATCCATATTTCTGATGGATAAAATTCCCTGTGTCACTAATATGTTAGATCATTTAAAATTGAAAATTAAATATTAAAAAAAAAAGCCATTATTTTGAGTCACTTCTGCTGTTTTTTGGTTTGGCTTGGGCCATGAAAACAGAATGTTGGGCTTGGATTCTGCCTATATCTCTGCCTAGCGTATGGAGTTGGGAGTAGAGAGGGAATCGCTGTACTGTAATAAATTGGTTAAATGTGTGTCCACCATTGCCCTCCACAGGATGGAATCGGAACTTTTCAGATGTGTGTGTCACATGCCCTATAGTGCAAACAGCTTATGGAGATTCTCGTTTTAGCTCAAGTATGGATGGGAGGGGGGCTGAGACTTTTTTTTTTTGTGGGAGAGGGATCGAAGTTTGGTCTCTGCTGTCGCGGTGAAGTTACAAGTGGCATAAAGTATGGTAACGATGACGCATCTGGTACAATTTATACTGTTGGCTGGGGAGGGGGAACGGGACTGGAAACCTGAAGTGTAAATCTGCCTTCTTTTTTAAAAGTCGAGCTGGTGACACACCTTCCTCTGTGCAAGCCGGTTTGCTTAAGGCAAGTTCACACCCATAGCACGACTAGCCACCTTTCAAGTTAAACGGATGCACTGGATTTTATTCCCCCTCTTGTCTTTTCCACTCTATTTGCAAGTGGCAGGAGCCAAGCGGCAGTGCTGGGGGTTCTCCAGGGGCCTGGCTCAGTGCATGGGCCCACCTTTCCCTTTAATATCTGTCTAACTTGAAAGAAAAATACACCGTTGCATCCTGGCAGAGTGTTCACCTGGAGCAAACATTTGGCAGAGCGGATCTCGATCTCACAAGGCAGAGAGGTGGGGCCCATCCACACCTTCTTGGGGATAGGGCTGTATGTTCCCAAAAACTCAGACTCTGCCGGAGTGAAGAGCCACAGTCTCGAATTGCTCTTTGCCCAACAGATGCCCGTTGTGCAATGATGAGAAATCAGCCATAGGGCACCTGTAACCTACCAGTTCAAGGTGTGTCCTGTTCTAGTGGCGGGGGCCATGTAAGGAGACCAAGTGCCTACTACTGCTGCCAGCTAATTGTCACTCTTCTAGATCAGTTAGTGGAGGCTCCAGCCTTTAGAGCTGAATGTGTCCGCTTCAGTCCTCCTGGGCAATCTGTGCCCAGCTCTGTTGCAAGCCTCTCTTTCATGTGGGATGACTTTTTTTGATGCAACCAGGGTCTGGCAGCAGCCTTCCGGGGTTGGACCATTTTGATCAGAGCAAACTTGCAAACCTCTCCGGAAACTCACCGGCGTAGACCCAGAACAGTGACACTCCTTACCAAGTTTCAGAGTAGCAGCCGTGGGTTTCTCCCCCCCCCCTCCTGCTGATGATAGCTCATCTCAATTGATTGGCCTCTTACAGTTGGTATGGGCACTTCCACCTTTTCATGTTCTCTGTATGTATAAATATCTTCTTACTGTATGTTCCAGTCTATGCACCCAATGAAGTGGGCTTTAGCCCACAAAAGCTTATGCTCCAATAAATTTGTTAGTCTCTAAGGTGCCACAAGGACTTCTACTCCTTACCAAGGGTCAGTGTATAAATGATTGATTAACCATTTATTAAAACAATCGAATAGGTGGCTTATAACCATAGGTGACAGCCACTTATAAACACCTGGTACTGATGTGCTCATGTAAACCACTGGTGAGTGCGTTGGAGATCCTCTGCGCCTGATCTGCAGCGGACGAGCCCATTACTCGACCAGTTAGGGAATCTTGACTCTTCCGCACATGCTATAGCAGCTCATGCGTTTCGCTCTGGAGGTCCCGGCCAGTCTGTGGAACGGCGGCGTTCACACTAACAGCCCCCTATGACACGCGCAACCCGTCTCCTTACAGGCCTGTATCCTCTAATCCGTTGTTATTCCTTCATAAACCATCTCTACGTGGAATCTGTTACTGTAAAGTGTGTCCCGTGGGGTCAACTTGCCAGCCACTCCCCTGGAGCATCCCAAGTGAGATTTCAGCGCGGCCCACCAAAATAAACACTTCTCTGCACAGAGGAACAGAACTGTGTAGAGCTACTCTAGTGCCAGGCAAACCTTCCCACTTGCGCTTGGGAGAACGGAAATTCAGCAGGACCCAGAGCTAATAAACCCTTTGTCCTCCCCCGCCCAACCAAAAGTGTATATGGGACAGGGGTGTGAGCTTAAGGCTTCTCCTTCCCACAGAATGACACTCTAATCTCCTTTTCAGGCAGCCATGAGGGCACACACTTACTCGTCTCCTTCCCGATCTGCACTCGGCTGTGACGAGAAACCCGGGTACAGCGAGGTGGGGGGGGGTGGGAGCTGAAATGCTGGCAAGGAAGAACTGGGTTGCTGCCTTTATTACAGACGGGTTCTCCTCTTTGCCCCTTGAAGGAGCAGGAAGGAACTAAGCTCAGTTTAGGGCTTTCTTCAGGAGTTGCTAATCCTGCCTGCCACTAAAGCCGAGTCTGCACTTAAAAAAACCTCTATATGCATCCGAAGAAGTGGGTTGTAGCCCACGAAAGCTTATGCTCTAATAAATTTGTTAGTCTCTAAGGTGCCACAAGTACTCCTGTTCTTTTTTTAAAAAAACTAGATCACCCCAGCTACCTCCCTCAGAGGTGTGAAAAATCCACACTCCTGATCACGGAGTCAAGCTGAGCTAAGTTCCTGCGTAGGCAGCGCTAGGCTGAGGGAAGAATTCTTCTGTCGACTTAGCTGCCGCTGCTGGGGGAAGTGGCATAGCGAGCGCCCTCCGTATCCTCCGATCGGAGGGGGCCCCGCAAGGAAGGGGCCCCCTAAAAGTGGCAAAATAAATACCGCATTCCAGTTTCTGCATTGTAAGGGGCCCCGCCCAGACATATGTTCGGAGGGGGCCACCGTTCGGAGGGGGCCACGTTCTTTGTTGCTACGGCCCTGACGGCAGAACCCCTCCCAGCGCTATCACGAGTGTCTGCACTGAAGGGCTACGGCTGGGCCTCCCCATCCCTATTTCATGCATTCCTGAGGTGTCCCCACCCTGATGTTGGGGGTCTGTCGATAACCAGCCCAACTGGTTGGTTGGTTTTTCCTGCTCCAGGAGAGGAGAGCTTCCTTGCCAGCAATCACGTGGGCTCGGATCCAGGGCTGTCGACACTAAGGGCAGGTCTTCACTATGGGGGGGGTCGATTTAAGATACGCAAATTCAGCTACACGAATAGTGTAGCTGAATTCGACGTATCGGAGCCGACTTACCCCGCTGTGAGGACGGCGGCAAAATCGACCTCTGCGGCTCCCCGTCGACAGCGCTTACTCCACCAGCGGAGGTGGGAGTAAGAGCGTCGATTCGGGGATCGATTGTCGCGTCCCGACGAGATGCGATAATTCGATCCCCGAGAGATCGATTTCTACCCGCCGATTCAGGCGGGTAGTGTAGACCTAGCCTAAGGGAAAAACTTCTAATCGGTTCTCAAACTGGTTCAGCTAAGCTAGCTGGAGTCCTAGTGGAGGCCTGTTTTTGTTTCTAAGATGGTCTGACCTGTTTGGGGCAGGGGGGGAACCAGGCTGTCTTAGATCACCTCAAACTGGGTCAGTGCCGCAGTTCTGACTGGCTTATCTGAGCCACTTTTGAAACCAGTTAGAAAATGTCTCCAGTAGAAACGGGTCCCTCGGTGATGTGGCAGCAAATCTAAATCCCAAAGCCTTGGGCGCAGCTCCCAGTTGAAGGGTGTGCTGCTACTTCCAGAGAGGATGGGTCACCGTGATGGAAGAGAGACTGGACTTTGACTCCGTCTGGATGGGTACATTCGGGGGACCAGTGATGATCTAATGTAGCAGAGGAATCTATGCGGTTACTGTGAATTCACACCACTGTCAATGAGAGCAGAAGCCAGCTTAAGGAGACGGTCTTCCGAGGGTGTATGTAAAATATTGTGACTTTTTTAATTACGAGAAGGAAAAAAGTTTGCAGCTGCGCCATAGGACTGCTTTGTGCTAAGGCTGCCCATCTCCCTTTGGCCAGTATGGTTGCATGGAGGAAGTGAACTGGGCTGGGGTGGAGAGTGGACAGAACTGCCCCAGTTATTCAGGGAAACTGGAAAATGTGAAAATGTTCCGTGCTTCTATTGCCTAGTGTGTGGAATAAATTATTTCTTGTTTGCAATGCAAACTGCATGGAGTTTGGTACTAATTGTTTGCAATGCAAACAGCACGGAGAGGCCCCAACTGAGATCTGGGCACAACCACCTAGTGAGAGACAGCCCTTGCCCCCAAAAGCTTACAAGAGAGAATGAATAGTTCAAAAGGCAACCTGGGAAGACTAGCTCTGGAGGACTTGCAATCCTGCATGATTGTGCTGTGGAGTTTGGAACAGTTGCCTGGCTTGCTGGATCAGAGAGATTTAGATTAGGCCACTAAGGGCTGTGTAATGAGACTTCTTGGTTTTATCCTGCCCTGATGTTCCTCTCAATATATAGCCTGTCTCAGGCTTTCCTGACCGTTGCTCCAGGGTAATAAGCTAGTAGGAGATAAAATAAGACTCTCCTGCAGATGGGCTTTCTTGTTTACATCCAAGAACGCCCAAGTCTTCTGCAGCCAAAAGTGGGCACCGGGTAGCCGTTAAATTGGGAGGCAACGGTTCCTACTGGTTAGCGCATAGGACTGGATTCTATTCTTGCCACTGGCTTGCTGTGTGTTCCTAGGGCAAGTCTCTTCCCATCTGTACAATGGAACACGATATTGAGCAGCTTAATGGAGTGCTCTGAGCTCTGCTGATAAGTGTTTATACGAGAGCAAGGGATCAACCCTTGGCTTCTCTTACTATCCTCTGCAAAGGCGCCATTGACCATGCAGCACTGGAAGCGGGTGAGGAGCTGCCTCGTCTAGTGACCTCTTAACCCCGCAGTGTGGTGCTGGCCAGATGTAAGATACTAATGCTCCAGACGGCGCAAGGGAAAGGTGGTGCCCGGGCATGGGTAATGCCTGTGTTCCTGTGCACTCAAACAACATGTGACCTATGGTAGTCGTGTTGCTTAATGCTCCGATTTAGGCACCCAACTTCCATTGAAATCCATGGGAGTTAGGAGCCTAAATATCTTTTGGGGATCTGGGCCTCAGATGCTGCGGCGATGGGCATGGTATAAGAACCTATGTAGAACAGAGCCGGTCTGGATCAGACCAAGGGTCCAGTATTTACCAGCAGCTAGAGGAGCCCTGCAGTAGGCGATTATGGGATCACTTTCCCCAGGAGAAGTTTCCTGCTGAAGCCTTGGAGTAGGAGGGTTTAGGAGGGCGTATAAATCCTCCTACTCCTTCTCGTATCTTGTGGGAAGGAGTGCCACAAGCCGTGGGGTGGACAGTGTGGGGGGAAAAAAGCATTTCCTCTACCAGTTCTCAATTTGCCCCCTTTTTGGTTTCATTGAGTGTCCCTCTAATAATCCTGATTGCATTGAATCTGGTGCCTTCTCCATTGGGGGTGGGGGGGATTCTTGGCGTGGAGGTGGGGTACATAAAATCAGGTAGCGTCTGTTTGCGTGTTGATTTTTAGCAAGCTCTCTCCAAATGCTACATCGTGAACATTCTCTTCTCTTCCCCGCCCCCCCCCTTTTTTTTTTTTTAAACTCTAGGAAGCGCAAGTGGGATGAAGATGACTTCGAAGAGGACATGGGGGAGGAGGAGGAGGAAGAGGAAGAAGAGGAGGAGGAAGATTATGAAGAGGATGAAGAAATGGGAGAGGATGAAGGGCTGGGCTCCGCAGAAGCGGTGAGATCTGGGCCGGGATCTCTGCTTCTTCGCAAGCCGCAGGCCCCCCAGCCGTACCGAGGTGAGCCACAGAGGCTGCCGGGGGGCCAGGAGCGGCTGTCGTCTGGATTGAGCCATCAGGGGCACTTGCAGCTACAGCAGCAGGCTCCAGACCATGGAGACTGGACTTACGAGGAGCAGTTCAAGCAAGTAAGTACCCATAAAGGCATATGTCCCTTTAAATGACTTGCTGGCATTGAGTTTATAAGCCGGTTACTTTTAATGCTACATCTCCAGTACTTAATCCCTTGGGGACCTTGAGCCGGGTCAAGGAGTTCTTCCCTATTGATGCACGGGGAAATTGCCGCCTCATTGCCAGAATTAAGATGTCAAGAGGTGTGTTGCCTGCCTGGCTAAGCTGGGAATGCTGGTGTATTGAGAGCTGCTCGGGCCAAGAGGCTGAGCCATCCGTGGACCTGTTTGGAATGGCTGGAGTAGCTTGGAAGGGATTTTGAAGGGTGGCAGGCGGGTCTGACGCTGTGTGTGAATGAACTCTCCAGGATAGAGACGAGAGAGCTCAAACCTCTGTTAGTTTGTGCTTCAGGGGCTTAGACGGATTTTATAGTTTGGAAATGTTGCCTCTCCTTGCAGGGAGGCGCTCTTTCGACTGGTTCCTTGTTTTGTCCTTGTCGTTCACATGCTGCCAACCTCCGGTTAAGATCTTGGCCCTGAGCCACCGGGAACAGTTTGGTACCACTTCAGAGGAAGGTGGCCAAGTCAAAGAACCAGGGAACTCCGATATCTTGGTCAGTCATTCACACCAGTGCTAATGCAGGTGTCTTGCGTTGGTGTGAATGACTCCATTGTGTGCAATCTAAATGGAGTATCTGGGTGCATGTGTCTTCAAACCAAACGTTTTTACTTGTGTCAATAATGCTTCTGTTTTTTTCTGGCTTTAATAATCCGATTTTATTTATGTATTTAAAACTCCGCTCTTCATGTGTCCGTCTGCTTGGCTGGGGTTTGTGTCTCTCGAGGGGGATATTCTGGTCGGGTTCTCGTGCACTAGCACAACTCTGCAAGGTTTGGCTTGCAAATGCAGTAGGGAATCCGTGTAGACATCTACACGGCACTCCAAACTCGCCGTTGGGATTCCCTTGTGTTGGCTTTAGGCTTTTTGAAAAGCTAGCCCGTGTGGTGTGCCCCATCCCGGGAACCATTGGTTTCTGAGGCAGATCTGACCTCCTGGCGTCTTTCTGCAAAGATCTGTGGAGGCAGAGGCACTGGCTATTTGAATCATGGTCCTTTCAGCCCTGATTAAGTATGCGATTTAAACATGGGCCTAACTCTAAGGGCAGGCCCATGCAAGTCCCATATACCGGATTGGAGATCATAAACTAGATTTCTCCTGGGTTTCACTCAGCCCCTGCCTTTCCTTCCCTTCTGGGTCCCCTGCCTCCTTGTTTGCCAAGCCTCGCTCTGGGGAAGCAAAGATCCTCTCTCCTCTCATTCATTTCCCCCCCCCCCTTCCCCTTTGGTGATTGGCCAGAGCTGGGTATTGAATCTGTAAGCCTTTGGCTAATAGAAGGAAATGTGCTTAAAGCAGGGCTCCCCAGACACTCAGAGGCTCCTTTGATGTATGTGTTTAAGTACCATCTGAGTTTAGGGCTGGGGGGAGGGGATGCTACACAGACAGTAGCAGCAGATGGAATCCAGATGGAGTGGGGTGCGGGGAGCAAAAGGAGGCTTGTGCTGCTTTTGGGGTGGTGATTATTATTATTATTGGCTGTGACCTTTTATTTTGGGGTCCCTGGCCAAGGGAAGAGAAACCGCTCCAGGGGAACAGCTGGCAAGGGCGCCCGGGGTTTGAGATCGCTGCAGGGCACTGCGAGTGGGCGCGCTTGGGTCAGCCAGAGAAAGTGTTTGCTAGAAGGATCAGGAGCCCTGGTGTCTCTACTTCCGTAACGGTACAATGCCGCTTTCCAACTTAAAAAAATAACAGGGCTGCTGATTGGTCCTGTGTGTCTGTTCGTTTTAGCTGTTGTATAGCATTTTCATCCTCCCGTAGCTTAACATTTTTGGTGCAACTAACCCTTTTTTCCAGGCTCTGATCTGATAGTTAGAGCCTAGGAAAAAAAACTCCTTGAGACTGGCTTAACTGGAGTCTTCCTTTCTTTCCACTTCCTCTGACCTAGATGGTCTCTTACTATTTGTGTCCCAGTAACATCTAGAGGCCCCAGCTGAGGTCTGGGTCCCCCTGTGCAAGGTGCTGTACATGCACATAAGACATTTTTTGGCCCCAATGAGTCTGCAGATTAAAAAGAGAAAATGGTCAGAGTGGGGAGGGGAAACTCCTGAGGCACAGAGAGAGGGAAGTGACTTGTCTTAAGGGTCACACAACAGGTCAGGGACAGTGCTGGGGTTTAAAAACCGTCTATTGTCGGAGTCTGTAGCACTCTATCCGCTAGCCCACACTGCCTCCTTGCAGCGTTACTATGAGCATTGTTACAGTCGGTCTACACGCTCCCTTTCCAAAACGCTGCTGATCCTTTCATCTCTCTAACGTACATGTGGTTTTTTGTTTTTGTTTTTTAATATATTAATTCTTCTTGTGTTGTCTTCTTGAGCTCTTGTTTACATCTTCCTCCGTCTGATATGTATCTTCTTAATGTGGCTTCTTTTGTACTTCCTGTAAATAGAGAGTGAGGGGAGCGGAATCTTTTTATCTGTGGAAAAAGCTTTTAAATACAGCAGCTGTGATCTTCCTGTTTTGTCACCCGGTTACTGCCAAAACCCTGCGCTCTGTGGGTTCTTGGGAGAGCAAGATCACACAGTCTGGTGCGCCTCTCACAGCTTTAAGAAAAGGATTCAGTTTTGGAAGCTAATGTTAAACTGAAAGTGACGAACATGGCAGCTTGTTACCTGGGGTGTGTGTTTTGATGGTGTTTTGTTAATAGGTTGAAAGTTTGTGGTTCTTAATTTAACGCTATGCTGGGCCAGAAAATCTGTGCGACTCTGTTTAGGTCGACGGAGCTTGCCAGTGCTTGTGGCTTTTTGTCACCCAAGTCTTGTAATATTTGGCGTTTCTCTTCGAGATGCAGCTCCTGGAGTCATGTGATTAGAGTGAGACTCTGTTTTCGTTTTACAGTAAAGTATGTTTCTAGCCTTTGGTTGCAGACGAAAGCTGGAAGACGTGACTCTGAGACTCACAAATAAAAAAACCTCTCTTTTTTTAAATCTTACCTCGGGCTGTGTTGGTGCTTTTCTTTTGGGGGAGCGGGGAGCTGACTCAGTTGGGCAATGCCGCCATTGTTGTAGCAATGTCCAGCTCTACCAGTGGTGGCAGGTGTGGGAACGCTAGTGTAGACAGGCTGCCGGCCACTTTAGCACCGTGTTGCGTAACCCTGCTTCGAGCAAGTCAAGGTAGCACCATGACTTTAAAATGCCAGAGAGCATTCCAAATTAAAACTGCCCTCCCCACCCCGGGTGCCGCTCCAGTGCCGGGCCTTAAGGGGCATGAGCTGGTGCAGATGCCACCTAACTGTGCATGAGAACAGGGCTGCTGGCCATGCCAGGGCACTGGTCTGGCCAGCAGTGGCAAAACCAGATCCAGGGAGCAGAGATTAGGATATTTCAAGAGCCCCCAAGGGACTTAAGGCATTCCCTTGGGCTCGTTTGCCCATCCTAGCCAGAAGCTCTCTGCTGCAGCCCCTGCTTTCCTGTCTGGGCTGGGCACGGCGAGCTCTGTTCTTCAGAGCACTAATTCCGGGAGCTCCCCGGCATCCCTGTTCTGAAGCTTTCGGCCCTGGCGTGCCCGCGCTGTGGGCGGAGGAGAGCACTGCAGACCCGCCTGGTTTGGGGAAAGCCCTTTTTTTCCCCCCCTGCAGCTGAGCATGTCAGAAAGCAAACGTGTCGGCCTCTGGACCTCCGCCAGAGGTTTCTCAGCGAAGCCTTTGGCCGGGAGCTCCGCTTGGCCTCCCTCCAGCACAGGCTTTTGACTGGGCTCCAGCCCCAGCTGATGGGGAGCAGCGCTGCTCGCTGGGAAGGAGCAGAAGGAATGTAAACAATGACTGTTAGCAGGATGTGTGGTGCAGTTTCTGCTGCGCTACTGGAGGTGCTGTCCCAGGAGGAGTTATTGACAGCGAGTACTTTATGACTTCCTTCGCCCCTGCTCTCCAGTTCTCCACACCAGCTTGAGTTGGTTTATTTTTCCCCCTTGAGATTTAAGATACATTTAAAAAAAACAACCCCTGTAACTTAATCCTTTTTTGACAATTCCTTCATGGTCGGGAGACCTACCAGCATCACAGAGGCTCATGAATCGCTGCAGCACCTAGGAGCCCTGGGCGTGGACCAGGCCCCCAGTGCGCTAGGTGCTGTACAGACCGAACCAAAAGCCGGTCCCTGCCCCATAGAGAACGAAGCCTCAAACGCCTGAGAGGTTGCTGTCCCTCCCCCAAGAGGGTCGGAGGTTCACGGTCTGATACCCGCTTTTCATAGGCGCCGCTCCCGAGCTCGGCGGTGGGGTAGCCAGTGCCTCAGCACTTCCTAAAACTGGGTCAGCCGTGACTTGCACGGAGTCCTTGCCAGAGCCGGGGACGCAGCCTCCTGGCTTGCGCTTGCTGCGAGCGCATCCCTCCCCGTTCCGCTCCTCAAGCCCTGCATGCTTCTGTGCGCAGTCCAAATACCAGGAATAATCTGGGCTGCTTATCACTCAAGACTTACTTCAGCCGGGTGCCAGTAACTCTAGCCAAGGACAAAAGCAAATTCTTATCTTCCCCCCTTGGGCAGTTACTTGATTCTCTTAGTGCCTGTCTGATTCCCTTCCCCCCCCCCACACCCCACCTTGTTTTCCTTTGGGGGGAGGCAGAGGATAGTACACCTTGGCTGGTGTCCTGGATAGCACTTAAGCATTGGCTCAAGAGGGCATTTGGCAGCATCTCCATGGCGCAGTCTGCCCGGTAACTGAGTGGGTAGCATTTGAGTTACGCAGGCTATTCTTCCTGCTTTGTAGGGATCCGGCTTGGATGCTGTTGACTCTCGAGGGATGCTTATGGGTGGAGTGGGCGCGGTTTCCCCCTGACATAGTAACCGAGAGAACTGGAGTGTGGGTTGCACAGGGCCACGGTCAAACGACTGGGGAGGGCGAGCTGTGGTCGCTGGAAGCCCAGGACAGTTCATGGTATAACATCAGCTGTTTGCTGCTGCTG